ACCAAAGCTTGTCTGCACCACCCTGAGACTCCGCCCCATCCAAGCGGAGCACAGAAGCCCTTCCAGTGGCTAGCTTTCTCGTTCGGGAGAAAAAAAACAAAACAAAACAAACAAACAAACAAACAAAAAAAACCTCCCAACTGCACTGAGAGACAACTCCGAGCTGAGAAAAAACTGGCTGTCAGGGAGTAGGCAAAACTCGAGAACAGCCTTTCCCCAAGAGGTGCGCATGCATACAGGCAGTCTTGCGGGACTCGCCGCGAATAGGACTTTCCCAAGGCGGGACTGACTGGGAACCAAAGCTTGTCTGTGCCTCCCCAAGACTCCGCCCCATCCAAGCTGAGCGCAGAAGCCCTCCTAGCTGAGCACTGCTGATCCTCACAGGCAATTGGCTTGGAGATCAATGCTTCCCAATGATACCAACAACAAGCAAGGCTTAACAAGATTGCACACACGGCCCACAAAGGGCTGCACCAAGACTGTCCACCTCAGGTAACTGGGAAGGCTGTGCTACTAGGCTCTGCCAGGACACCTAGCACACAAAGCTATTCCATCAAATCAGGGAAGCAGCTAAAATACAGAGAAGAATCAGGACACAAAGGAAGGAAATGGAGGAAAGTAAAAGAATGAACATTGAATTCAAAACCACGGTTATAAGGTTTTTCAAGAATTTCCTAGAAAAGGCCGATAAAAGAAATGAGACCTTTGAGGATATGAAAAGGGATCAACTAGAAATAAAGAATACATTGTCTGAAATAAAAAAATATTATACAGTGTTCTAAAAACAGAATGGAAGATCACAAGATTTGGAACACGAAGAGCCAGAGGACACTCCTCTGCAGAAGCAAGAAGGGAAGAGAATCCAGAAAGTTGAAGATAGTGTAAGAAGCCTCTGGGACAACTTTAGGTGAACCAACATCAGAATTATGGGGGTCCCAGAAGATGAGAGAGAGCAAGATATCGAAAACATACTGAAAGAAATAGTGACAGAAAACTTCCCCCACCTGGTGAAAGAAATAGACTTACAAGTCCAGGAAGTGCACAGAACCCCCCAAAAAAGGAATCCAAAGAGGACCACACCAAGACACATCATAATTAAAATGTCAAGAGCAAAAGACAAAGAGAGAAAAGCAGGCAGTTACCTATAAAGGAGCACCCATATGATTGTCAGCTGATTTCTCAATAGAAACCATGTAGGCCAGACGGGAATGGCAAGAAATATTCAAGGTGATGAATAGCAAGAACCTACAGCCAAAAATACTCTACCCAGCAAAATTATCACTCAGAATCGAAGGCCAGATAAAGAGCTTCACTAATAAAAAAAAGCTAAAGGAGTTCATCACCGCCAAACCAGAATTACATGAATTGCTGAAGGGGGTTCTTTCGGAAGAGAAAGTAAATAAAGATAAAAACTATGAACAACAAATACGTAACTATCAACAAGTGAATCTAAAAATCAAGGGAATTAAAAGAAAATCTGATGAACAATATTAACTGGTGAATATAATAGAATCATAGGTATGGAAGGACTGTCGATTCTCGGGAAAAAGGAGAGTGGGGGATGTGGGAAGAGACTGAACAAAAGCTGTGCACCTGTGGATGAGGACAATAGGAGGTGGGGAAAGGGCAGAGGGTGGGGTGGGAACTGTTGGAGGGGAACAATGGAGGGGGAAAAAAGAGGAGCATTTTTAATAATCTGGACAATAAAGATGTATTTAAAAAAAGAAAAAAAAAGAAAAAAAAAGAGAGGCTCAAATAAATAAAATCAGGAATGAAAGAGAAGTAACAACTAACACTAAAGGAATTCAAAGGACTGTATGAAAATATGAGGCAGCTGGTCGATGTTTCTCTCTCATCCACGTTTCTAGCTCTCTATCTCCCTTCCTCTCTGTAAAAAATCAATAAAATATATTAAAAAAAGAAAAAGAAAAAGAAAATATTATGAATAACTATATGCCAACAAAATTCGACAACCTGTGTGAAATGGGCAAATTCCTAGAAACGTACAGTCTTCCAAAACTGAATCTTGAAGAATCAGATAATCTGAATAGACAGGGCAGAACTAGTGAAATTGAAGCAATAATAAAACCCAGCAAACAAAAATCCTGGACTTGATGGCTTCAAAGGTAAATTTTACTGAATATTTAAAGAACTATCCCATCCTTCTCAAACTATTCCAAAAAATTCAAGAGGATAAAACAATTCCAAGTCTTTTTATGAAGCCAACATGATGCTAACTCCAAAATCAGGTATAGACATTAGAATGAAAGAAAATTATTGGCCAGTATCCCTGATGAACATACGTGCTAAAGTCCTCAGAAAAATATTAGTAAACCAGAACCAGCAATACATTAAAAATATAATACACCATGCTCAAGTGGGATTTATTCCAGGTATGCAAGTTTGGTACAATATCTACAAATCAATAAACTTGATATACCACATGAAGAGAATGAAGGTTAAAAACCACACGATCATATCAATAGATGCAGAAAGAGAATTTTATAAAGTCTAACACCCTTTTATGATATAAACTCTCAGCGAAGGAGGAAAAGAGAGAACATATCTCAACATAATAAAGGCTATACATAAACCCACAGCCAACATCATACTCAGTGGGTAAAAACTACAAGCGTTTAAAATCCAGAACAAGACAGGGATGTCTACTTTCACAAATCTTATTCAAAACTAGAGAACCAGTGCACGAGATTCATGCACTGGGTTGGGGCAGGGCCCTCAGCCTGGTCTGTACCTTCTTGCAGTCCGGGGCTCTCTCAGGGCCCTTCACTTCTGTGTTGAGCATCTGCCGCCTGGTAGTCAGTGCATATCATAGCAACCAGTCATTCCACTGTTTGGTCAATTTGCATATTATACTTTTATTATGTAGAATAGTACTGGAAGTCCTAGCCACAGCAGTTAGACAAGAAATAAAAGGCATCCAAATTGAAAAGGTAGAAAACTCATTATTTGGAGATGACATGGTACTATCGAATATATAAAGAAAGCCCTAAAGATTCCACTGAAAAACTACTAAAACTGCTAAATGAACTCAGTAAAGTAACAGGATACAAAATAATTATCCAGAAATCAGTTGCATTTATTTACACCAAAGTGAAACTAAGAAAACAAAACATAATAACACCTATTTACAAGTGCATTAAAAAAAAAAAATCTCTAGGAATAAATTTAACCAAGGATGTAGACCTGTCTTTGGAAATTAAGACTCAGAACAATGAATTGAATAATATAAAAATAAGTTGAAACATATAACATGTTTATGGATAGGAAGGATTAATATCATTAAAATGCCCATTATACAAAGCAATCTAGATTCAACACAATTCATACCAAGATATCAATGGCATATTTCACAGAACTATTAATAGAACAAATATTTCAAAAATTTGGACCCAGAATAGCCACAGCAATCTTGAGAAAAAAAAGAGGTTGGAGGAATCATGCTACCTAATATCAAAATATATTACAAGGCTATAGTTATTAAAACAGCATGATACTGGCATTAAACCAGACATATAAATCAGTGAAACAGAATAGAGAGCCCAGAAATAAACCCATGCCTTTATGAACAATTAATATTTGACAAAGTAGAAAAGAACATATAATGGAGTAACTATAGTCTCAATAAATGGTGTTTGGAAAATTGGATATAAACATGCAAAAACATGAAACTAGACCATCTTCTCACATCATACACAAGAATAACCTCAAAATGGATTAAAGACTTAAATGTTAGACTCAAAACTATAAAAATCCTAGAAAAAAAATTGGCAGTGAAATCTTGGACTTTTCTTGTAGTGATATATATATATTTTTTGTTGATGTATTGCTGCTAGCAATGGAAAACAAAGGAAAAAAGTAAACAAATTTGACTGGATCAAACTAAAAAGTTTGCACAGCAAAGGACATCATCAACAAAATGAAAAAACATCCCATTGATTGGGAGAACATATTCACCAATGACACATTTGATAAGGGTCCATAGCCAAAATTTATAACAAACTAATAGAACTCAGCGCCAAAAAAACCACACCTATAATTAAATACCAAATGGGCAAAGGACCTGAATAGATACTTTTCCAAAGGGCACGTGCAGGCCGATAGGCAAATGAAAAGATGTTCAATGTCACTAGTCATCAGAGAAATGCAAATTAAAGTACAGTGAGATATCACCTCATAACTGTCAGAATGGCTGTCATCAGTAAATCAATAAACAACTATTCATGAGGATATGAGACCCCTGCACACTGTTGATAGGAATGCAGATTGGTGCAGCTATTGTAGAAAGCAGTGAGAATTATCTCAAAAAATTAAAAATGAAACTAATAGCCATATGATCAGCAATTTCACTTCTGGGAATATATCTGAAGACTTCTGAAACAGATTCAAAAGAATATTTACACTACTATATTCATTGCAGCATTATTTACAATTGTCAATATTTAGAAGCAGCCCAGTTTCCATCAGTAGATGAGCTTCTACACAATGGAATGCTACATGGCTATAAAAGGAAGGAAATCTTCCCTTTTGCAACAACATGAATGGAACTGAATAGTATTATACTAAGTGAAATTAACCAGTCAGAGAAACACAAATACCATGTAATTTCTTTTATATGTAAAATCTAATGAACAAAATAAACTGATAAAGAAAATATAAACAGACTTTAGATACAGATAACAGACTGATGGCTGTCAGAGGGGAGGGGGTTTTGGTGCTAGGTGAAAAAGGTGAAAGGATGAAACAAACAAAAACACCACTTTGTAGCCTGGCTGGTGTGGTTAAGTTGGTTGGAGTGTCCTCCCATACACCAAAAAGTGGTGGGTTTGATTCCCAGTCAGAGGTCATCTAGATATATTGGAATTTTAAAACATTGGAGTAATTTTATGTACCTTTTAAATTAAATTATGTGTGATAGCCCAACTACAATATTATGAATATAATAATTTAGAAGCATTTCTGTGTTTTCTTCTTGTCTTTAGCTGGGCAGATGCTCAAACTCAAATCCAGAACATTGCTGCATCTTTTGACCAGGAGGCTGCTGCCATTCTTATGGCCAGGCTGGCAATATATAGAGCAGAAACAGAGGAAGGCCCAGATGTGCTTAGATGGCTAGACAGACAGCTCATTCGACTGGTATGTAGTGAACATCGTGCTTTCCTTAATCTGTGTATGCCTTATCTGTAGTAAATATTTGTTGCTGATAATATTTTTTTTTAAAAGCTCATTTATTTATGTTTATGTTTAATAAATCTTTACTGTTCACATTATTACAGTTCCTCTTTCCCCCCCATAGCTCCCCTCTGTCCTAATCCATAGGTGTACCATTTTTGTCCAGTCTATTCCCACACCCCCTATGACACTCCTTTCCTCCCCCGAGAATTGTCAGTCCACTCCCTTTCTATGCCCCTGATTCTATTATATTCACCAGTTTATTCAGTGCATCAGATTTTTTATTCACTTGATTTTTAGATTCTGTTGTTGATAGCTATGTATTTGTTGTTGATAATTTTTATCTTTACCTGTTTCTTCTTCTTCCTTTTCTTAAAGAATACCCTTCAGCATTTCATATAATACTTATTTGGCAGTGATGAACTACTTTAGCTTTTTCTTACCTGTGAAGCTCTTTATCTGACCTTCCATTCTGAATGATAGCTTTGCTGGTAGTCTAATCCTGGTTGTAGGTTCTTGCTGTTCATCACTTTGAATGAATATTTCTTGCCATTCCCTTTTGGCCTGCATGGTTTCTGTTTAGAAATCAGCTGATAGTCGTATGGGTGCTACCTTGAAGGTAACTAACAGTTTTTCTCTTGCTGCTTTTAAGATTCTCTCTTTGTATTTTGCTCTTGGGATTTTTATTATGATGTGTCTTGTGTGATCCTCTTTGGATTCCTTTTGTTTGGGATTTGCTGTGCTTCCTGTACTTGTAAGTCTATTTCTTTCACCAGGTGAGGGGGGGGGAGTTTTCTGTCACTATTTCTTCCAATAGGTTTTCAATATCTTGCTCGCTCTCTTCTTCTGGCACTCCCATAATTCAGATGTTGGTATGCATGAAATTGTCCCAGAGGCTTCTTACACTATCTTCATATTTTTGGATTCTTTTTTTTTTTGCTTTTCTGGTTGCGTGTTTTCTACTTCTTTGTATTTCAAATCTTTCACTTGATTTTTGGGATCCTCTAGTCTGCTGTCTCTGTATGTTTTTCTTTATTTCAGTCAGTGTATGTTTAATTTCTTGTTGGTCCTTTTTCATATCCTCGAGGATCTCACTAAATTTATCATTTGTTTCTAGAAGATTCTTGAGTAGCCTTATAATTGTGGTTTTGAACTCTGTATCCAGTAGTTTGTTTTCCTTCATTTCTTTCATTTGTGACCTGTTTCTTTGTCGCATTTTGGATGCTTCCCTGTGTTAATAGAGTGGCTTTGTGTGCTAGGTGTCCTATAGGGCCCACTGTCTCAGCCTCCCCAATTACCTGAGGTGGATACTCTTGGTGCATCCTTTTGTGGGCTGTGTGCACAGTCTTATAGTTAAACCTTGATTGTTGTTGGTATCACTGGGAGGAATTGAGCTCTAGGCCAGTTGGCTGTGATGATCAGTTGTGTCTACAGTGGGAGAAATTCTGTGCTGGAGATACCCTTATGAGATAAGATTTACTTCAGTGGGGCTTTGGTGCTCACTGAGTCTGTCCCCTGAGTGTGTTTCTTATGGATAAGGAGTTGTAATCTGGATGGTCCCACTCTAACCACTGTCAGTACACTGGCTCTTGGCTCTCCAAGAAGTTGCAAATTTAGCTTCTGCCTGAGGCCACCCAGTAGGAGCTATGGAGAGATCTGCAGATTCCTCTTCTTTGTTTGGGGTTTGGAGGTGCCCAGATGATGCTCAGCTGTGAATCAATGCAAGCTACTGTGGAGCTTTGAGCCTTTTTTGGAAGTTTCAGTGCTCTCTGACCCAGCTACTGTTTGTTAGGTAATTTTAAATTGCAAAGGGCCAGGCCATTCATATGCAAAAGCCTCTGTGAACAGCTGGGGTGGGGTTGTAAATTGGGTGGCGGGGTCTCAGGGAATCAACAAGGCAGAGTAAACAGCAATGGCTGACCTTCAGCCCTGCTCTAAATGGCCCCTGGGTTTCAGTTTCCCTTGGTAATTGCTGCAAGCACCTCTGAGAGAAAGCCATCCTTGTGTTCCGGCCCAATGCCAAACACCAGTTTCCCCCTCATATGAGTCTGGGTTCCCAGAATGTCGCTTGGAACTGGAGTTCAGAGCCATTGGGAGTTTGTGTCTTCCTCCCGATTGAAAAAGACAACAATGTACTCAGTTGTCAGTCCTTTTTGTGCACATGCCTCTGTACCTCTGTTATTTACTTCCACACCTCCTCTCAGTCTCAGTGTGCTGTTATCTTCCCTTCTAGCTGTAAAATTTTCACTCACCCAGCCTTCCTGAGGTTCTGGATGATGTCCACTTTGTCTTTTAGTTATAGTTTTTTTTTTTTTTTTTTTTTTTTTTTTAATATATTTTATTGATTTTTGTACAGAGAGGAAGGGAGAGAGATAGAGAGTTAGAAACATTGATGAGAGAGAGTCATTGATCAGCTGCCTCCTGCACACCTCCTACTGGGGATATGCCCGCAACCAAGTACATGTCCTTGACTGGAATCGAACCTGGGACCCTTCAGTCCCCAAGCTGACGCTCTATCCATTGAGCCAAACCGGTTTCGGCTTTTAGTTGTAGTTTTGAAATGGTTGTGCAAGGCAGCAAGTTGAGGGTTTTACCTATGCCACCATCTTGATTTCTCTCCCTAATGTTTTATTGTAATAGAATCCTATGTACAATTGGAAATATGTATACTTAATAAATGTGATTTGATGTTCTGAATAATGCCTTTTTCACATCTTTTCAAGGTATTAGATATTCTAGGTCAGCACTATCCAAGAGAACTTCCTGCAGTGGTGAAAATACCTATAGTTTGCATTGTTCATATGGAACTATTACCCACATGTAGCTATAGAGCTCTTCCAATACAGAGGTGGGCAAAAGTGGGTTTATAGTTGTGAGTATGTGAAACAGTATATCCTGTGTTACTTATTAATTACTGTATTATTTATTTTTATTACAACTATAAACCTATTTTGCCCACCCTTGTATAACTATTGCAACCAAGGAACTGAATTTAAAAAAAAAAAATAATTTTTACTTTAAATTACCACATGCAGGTAGTGACTATCATATTGGACAGTGAAAATTATTATTTTAATCTATAAGTTTCACCAGTGAAGTATAATTAGGAAACATTGGAGCCTGCCATACTCCTTTATTTCCGATAGTAAGATTTGTTTTCTAAGCATTGGCTCTACAACTATAGCATTTCTATTCTTTGGATAACAGTAGTTCTGAAGTGATTTTTCCTGGAAGCCAAAAAATGTAATCAAATCAATTATGCCTTTTTATATGCCCTATAAGGCATATGTAAACACATGAATGATATAGTACATTCCTTTGGTTGTAATAAGTCTTTTAATAAGTCTATAAGTAATATTCCAATTTTAGCCTATATCAAATGTCTGCCTCCTAAAGGATAATAGCTTTTTAAAATAGAATATATATAGGCTACAGTTTTAATTGTATGCCAGGAATTATGTTACTTACATGTTTTATTTTATTTAGTGTCAGAAATTTGGAGAGTATCACAAAGATGATCCAAGTTCCTTCAGATTTTCAGAAACTTTCTCCCTTTATCCACAGGTGAGTAAATAAAAGGTCTGTGTTCTTTGTGTTGGTAATAGTGTTGGGTCTCACTTTCCTTATTGACTTTTATTACTTAACTTACAAAGCCTATTGTATTGGGTTATTCTTTGGGTTAGGTAAGTTTTGGGATAGCTAAGAAATTAATACTGTGCTGTGAGTAGTCAGTGAAAAAAAGTATATATTATTTTTATGTTTCCCTTGAAATTAGTCATTAAATTATGGTGAATAGAAATCTATACAAGAACCTTATTATGGAATCAAATTAGAGGTAGATATAAGGGGTCTAATTACAGAGGTATCAAAAGAACTTCACCTGAAGTGGTTCAACCAAACAACTAGTCTTAGAGCATAGTATCAGCACCCAAGTTTTATGGAGATATACCAGATAAATAAAAAATAAGCTAGTTTGATTTATTTTACAGAGCTTTTTATTTGGGCAGTGGAATCTATCCCTCTATCTATTGTGTTGATAGATATTTTTAAAAGTCTAGATTATTTATATGAGTAACAGGTAACATCTATTCAACTAAGTATTAGGTGCAAGAAACTTTAGGAGAATAAAAATGACTGATTTGAATCCCATTTTTTTTATATTTCTAAAATTATTTTTCATTGCCATGACAATCAACTTTGATACTAATATTTTAGTAATTAAAGTAGGAGTATAATAGTTTACAGCCAGAAAGGGCGTAGGATCCCTTGAAAAAGGTAAAATCAAGGATCTGGGTACGAGAGTTTGCCAGACCTCTGAGCCCAGATGGTCAGAGGGAACCCACACAGCACCAAATCGCATCCCTGGGGACAGCACAATGTCTGACTGTGGAAAGAAGGCCACAGGACTGCTGATGGCATGGGATTCTAGAACTGGGTCCATAGTTACAAAAGGCTGAACCCAGAGGGTGCAGCCTTAAGGGATGGCCAGACTGCACAGCACCGGCAGGAGAGGAGCATGCAGAGACCCAGTCTTTTCCCTCTATGTGGCCTGAGCCTTTCTTCATTGAATCTAGTTCATAGGACCTTTCGGATACAGACACTTACCCATGGCTGAGGTGAGGGAGAAGGTGTGGACTCTTGGAGTCTGGTGAGAGTGGCGGAGCCCAGGAGAGGTGGTATTGACACTAGTGCTGAGTCATACCTGAGCCCAGGATCTGGGCAGCCATTTTGTCCTGAAGAGATAGCCCCTCCCTCCAGTTTCCAGGTAGCCAAGACAGACACACCCAGAACCTACCCTGAATGGCACAAAGGATTTTAAAAAAGTCTAAATAGTCTCTGAGAGTCCAAAAGAACTGGCCTAAAGACAGTACATAAGAGTGGGATCTTGAGCCAGCCACTTAAGGAACAACACTTTTCCTTTTTTATTATATTACTTCTTTTTTTCTTCTTTTTCCTTTGTTTCCCTGTTTTTATTTGTTGCTTTATTTTCTATTTCTTTTTGCATTATTTCTCCATCACTCTAATTTATTTTATTATATTTTTATTTGCAATTTTTTATTTTTTATACCATTTTTGAAATCAATTTTTTTTGTTGTAAATTTAGTATTACTTGAGGCCCAGTGCACGAAATTCATGCATGGAGGGTCGTGTCCCTCAGCCCAGCCTGTACCCTCTTCAATCTGGGACCCCTCTAGGGATGTCCAACTGCCCGTTTAGGCCTGATTGGGCTTAACTGCCCTCCCCTGCAAGCCTGGTCCCACCCTTAACTGTCCTCTCCTGCAGGCATGGTCCCCGTCAGCTGCCTTCCCCTGCAGGCCTAGTCACCTCCAACTGCTCTCCTCTGTAGGCCTGGGTTCCCTCAACTGCCCTTTCCTGCAGGCCCGGTCACCCCCAACTTGCCTCCTCTGCCGGTTTGGTCACCCCTAACTGTCCTCCCTTGCTGGCCTGATCATTTACAACTGCTCTCCTTGGCAGGCCTAATCCCTCCCAACTGCCCTCTCCTGCTGGCCATCTTGTGGCTGCCATCTTGTGTCCACATGGGGGCAGCCATCTTTGACCACATGTTGGCAGCCATATTGTGTGTTGGAGTGACAGTCAATTTGCATATTACTCTTTTATTAGATAGGATGAGTACTAGAGGCCTGTTGCACAAAGATTTGTGCAATAGGTGTTCCTTTCCCTGGCTGCCAGTTACCATTGCAAACAGTACTGGGAGGCCAGCTTGTCCTCAGAGGCCTAACCTCTTTGAAGGGAAGAGTTGCTGTAACTGGGACCCCATCCTCACCTCCACCCAGGGTGCCCTCAGAGAACACCTGGGATGCTACAGCCATCCCTGCCAGGGACCTGCTATCTCAGCTGTGGTACCACGGTCAACGTGTTACGTGTTACTAGCCATACTGGGCGCAGGCTCCTGTGAATTCTGAGGCAGGGTCCCCTCTGACCGGCTTTAGCCCAGGGCATTGCAACCACACAAGCAGTAGACAAGTGAGCAGCCTGCTCCTGCAAGAAGCCCGCCCCAGGCCTAATAGAAGCAGCCTCACGTGGCCTGCCACTGTCCAAGGAGCAGCAGCTATATAAGTGGTATCCGTCTGAGGAGCAGCAGTGATGTGAACAGCCCACCCCATCTGAGGAGCAGTAGCCACGAAACCAGGCTGCCCACCCCAATCCGAGAAGCAGCAGTTGTGCGTAGCCCGCACCCTGCACCTGTCTGAGGAGCAGCAGCTGCCCAATCAACCTGCCATTGTCCAAAGAGCAGCAGCTGCATGAGCAGCCTGCCCTGGACTAAGGAGTAACAGCTGCACGAGAAGCCTGCCCCTATCCGAGGACCTGCAGCTGTGTGAGCAGCCCACCCCTGTACGAGGAACTGCAGTACCACGAGCAGCCCACCCCTATTTGAGGAGCAGCATCTGCTCACGCAACCCGCCCTTGACCGAGGAGCAGCAACCACACAAGCAGACGGCCCACACTCAAGGAGCGGCGATCCTGCACAGCCTGCACTGGTCGGAGGAGCAGCAGCCACATGCAGGCTGCACCTGATTAACGAGCAGCAGCTGGGTAAGAGGCCCGCCCCTGCCTAGGAGCAGCAGCCGCGTGAGAAGCCCACCCCATCCAAGGAACAGCAGCTGTGTGAGCAGCCTCCCCCACGAGCCAGAGGAGGCCCCACTGCTGTGAACACCACCCACCTGAGGAGCCACTGCCAACTGAGGAGCAGCCACTTCTGTTACTGCCTGAGGAGCAACCGCAGCCAGAGGAGCCACTGCCTCCCAAGGAGCAGCCCTTGCACGACTTGACATGTAGATCAGTCAGTGAGATAAAAAATGGGTAGACAAAGAAACCCCCAAAGGAAAGAAAAAGAGGAATCACCAGAAAAGCAGCTAAAAGTGGCAAGCAATATGTCCCCCCAAAAAATTCAGAATAAAGGTCATACAATTCATAAATTGGATGGAGGAAAAAAATCAACAACTTATGTAAGAATCAAGAAAAAATAGATGAAAAAATCAGTAACTTACCTAAGAATCAAGAAGAAATAAAGAGTGCTTGCTGTAACTGCAATAAAAAACACCATTGAAAGTTTCTACAGTAGATTAGGAGAAGCGGAGGACCAAATTGGAAGACAGGGAAACAAAACACACTTAAATTGAACTGCAATTGGAGAAAAAAATTAAAAGATAGGAGAGAGCCTAAGGGAGCTATGGGACAACATGAATGAAGCAACATACCAATAATAGGGCTGCCAGAACAAAAGAAAGAGGAACAAGGGCTATAAAACCTATTTGAAGAAATAATGTCAGAAAATTTCCCTGATGTGGAGAAGAAAAAAGTCACACAAGCACAGAAAATCCCCAACAAGATGAACCTGAAAAGACCCACACCAAAGCACATCATAATTATGATGGCAGATGTTCACAACATGAGAGAATCTTAAAGGCTGCAAGAGAGAGACAGAAAGTTACATACAAGGGAGCTCCCATTAGATTATCAAATGATTTCTCAACGGAAACATACCAGGCCAGAAAAGAATGGAAGGAAATTTATAAAGTGATGCAAAGCAAGGGACTGAATCCAAGAATACTCTATTTATCAGGGCTATCATTCAAAATTGAAGAAGAAATAAGGAGCTTCATTGACAAAAAAAAAAAAAAAGGCTAAGGGAAGTTATTACTACCAAGCCAGCAATGCAATAAATGCTAAAGGGACTGATGTACAAAGAAGAAATAAAAAGGTATAAAAGAGCACAGGCACAAAAAATAAAAATGGCTGTAAACAATTACCTTTAAATAGTAACTGTAAATGTAAATGTACTAAATGCTCTAAACAAAAGACATTAGGTGGCTGAAAAGATTAAAAAAAAATGACCCATATATATGCTGTCTACAAAAAGGACCTCAGAAAAAGGGACTTACACAGATTGAAAGTGAAGGGATGGAAAAATATCTTTCAGGCAAATGGAAGTGAAAAAGAGACTGGGGTAGCAATACTTATATCTGACAAAATAGACCTCAAAGTGAAGGCCATAATAAGAGATACAGGAGGCCATTTAATAATACTAAAGGATTGATACAACAACAGGATATAACCCTGATAAACTTATATATACCCAATGCAGGAGCACCCAAATTCATAAAAAATCCTGGAAGATATCAAGGGAGAGATAGACAACAATACAATCAAAGTAGGGGACTTTAATACACCACTGACATCACTGGATGAATTCTCTAGACAAAAAATCAGCAAAGAAACACCAATCCTAAATGACTCACTAGATCAGATGGACTTATTTAACATTGTCAGATCATTTCACCACAAAGCTATGGAATATACTTTCTTCTCTAGTGCACATGGGGCATTTTAAAATATAGACCATATTTTGAGTCAAAAGCAAAGTCTCCCCAAATTCAAGAAGATTGAAATCACATCAGCTATTTTTTCATACCACAATAGCATAATATTAGAAATAAACTACAATAAAAACAGGCCAAAAAATTCAAATACTTGGAAGATGAATGGCATGATATTAAACAGTGATTGGGTTACCAAAGAGATCAAAGAAGAAATTAAAAACA